GGTATTTTCATTGTGGAAACTTGTATGATTTTTATTACTGTTCAGTCTTTTTCTTTTTTATCTAGTGATTTAAAAAGTTGAATTTGTATTGGTTTTAGCCACCTTCAAAATATTATTTTGTTGGATGCACCTATCAAAGGAAGCTGATTGCTGTTTTTGCCACTGACACCATTATTCTCCTTATAAAAGCCAGTTCAGACTTTAATATCAAGGCATTTTGTCATCAAGCAAAATTTGCAACTGGACATTATCAGGACAGTTGGTAACCATTCTACTCATTGACACCAAAAAGGCTTGATACTGAATTTTTAAACAATTTGTTCAGTAGAGCGTAAGGCAATACTGGATTAAGCACAGTGTGATGTTCATGTGGGTTAACACAAATATAAATGTATGGTATCAGAAATACATAGTTTATTCTGTGATTTCTTTACTAATCCTCTATGTTAAAACAAAAAACAACTACTGTTAGTGAACAGAAAAAAATTAGTTAATTAATTTTTTTGTTTGATTATTAGGATAGGTGATGGTTTGGAACTGCTTACCCAAATCAGAGCTTTACTTGTCCTATACATTGAGTGATGATTGTTATATAAATATTTGTTATGCTTAAGTCAGCTGCAATTCTTTTAGTTGTCCTCAACATTAGGTCACTTATATGTAACTATAAGACATCTTATAAATTCAGCCACTAAACTGTTTAGTGTTCAGATATTGTCTCTATCTGTTCTGAGATAGATTTACATCTGTATATTAATGTTTACTTAGCTGGAATGGTAACAGACATACATTTTGGAAGAAGTTGTACTTCAGCTAATTGTAATGATGTATGTAATAACTATTTATCAGGGAGTTTACAGCTACAGTTTTTGTTTTGTTGTTGTTTTATTGGTATAAGAAATAACATTCTGAATAATTCTGGGTTAACTGTCAATCTTAAAAGTGTTTGTATTTTGATTTATGTAGTATAAATATTTATGTTGATTCATCCCTTATCTGTGCCAGTAACTTGTAATGAATTTAGCAAGACAAGTTTTAGAAACTTAAATCCATCAGTGATATATTGGGACCTAATAAAAGAAAAGCATTGTAAAAAATTAAACTTATTTGAATAGTCACTTATGATTCTTCAAATTGATTAGTAAATTTGCAGTTAAGAGTTATTGCTATTACTGAAGAAAGCATACAGGAAGACACTCATTCTACCTTACATTTCACTGTACTTAACTCTAGCACATAATTAGGCTTCTTAATTAACAGAAT